TATTGTAGAGAATTTTTTAAAGTAAGTAGAGCAGACTATTACAAAGGGAAATAATAGGTCGTAATAAAACATCGTTTATGTGTATTCTTTGGTGGCCGCAGACCTTAGCCAACTATGTATCCAATTGTGTTATTTTAACATAATTAAGTTGTGTGATTGAAAATTTATTTTCAATGAGGTTCTTTAATTTTTGATGAACATCATTTTGTAATAATTTTAATGGGCTTTTTTTGTTCTAAATACGTATTAGTGTCACTTAGCAGCAATGTTATTCTTTATATGTGTTCTTGCTTTTTCATGCATACTGGAACGTTGCCCTTATCTGCATTTAAAAAAATAATGTAAGGATTGATGTTTATAAATATTTTTATTAATTTGATACCGTTGTCAATAAAGAAATGTTGTTTTGTATCCAAGGATGTTGCTAAAGTAGTTTCACTTTGACCTGGTTGAAATAATAATGTCTCTTTTGTAAGCAAATATGATATAACTATTGATTTTAAAGACTCAGAATATGGTTTAAAAAATTAAAAGCTGACCTATCAATCAAAAGAAAAATTACAAGAACTTATTTTTTATTTTTGAATATATCATGAGAACTGGCTGTATAAAGTCTAGAGAAACAAGCCAGTCACATTCTTTAAGCATCTAAGATTCTTATCAATGATATGATAAACTTAAGAAAATTTCCATTCAATAATACGTATTTTACAATTTTTTAACAGCTGTCATATCCATTTTAAATTCACACACAAAGAAGGAATGGATCACCGTATTAATTTTCTTGATATAACACTAATTAATAAAAACAATAGAACTTTAACGAATTGGTACAAAAAAAAACGTCCTACAATAGACTTATAAATTTAAAATTTAATCACACGAATCAACAAAAAATCACTGTAATCTTAAATATAATACCCAGGGCTATAAAACTATCAGACCAGTCATTTTACATCAAAAATTTTTGAATTTTGAATCAGATGCTTTACGAGAATCATTATCTAAAGAATTTTACTAAAAAATATACTAAAGAGAGAATTTTAACACTTTACAACAAGTAGTTCTCAAATATAATCGATATTTTTTCCTTTTAACTTGCTCCTTTGTTATGATTAAAGACATGATAACATGACACACTAGGTGATTTTAGAGCGTAACTATATTTTCATAAATATATAGCTCTGAAACCACCTAATGTGTCGTATTATCATGTCCTTACTTCTCAAAGAGTTTAGAAAAAGTTATTTAGAACTATTTGATATTAGCACTACCATATTTTCTCACAATTTTTGATAAAATTAAACAGTATTTTGAAAAGTTCTATGTAAAAACTGTTCCACAATGTCAGAAGAAATTAAGTTATTTTATTCAACTTGAAAAAAACAGGTAACAAACTTTGGATAACACAATTGTAGTATTTGGAATCTCATGTAACAATTGAACTACTTAATATATAAGAACGACAAAAAAGGAATTAAAGGAGAGGAAAAGAGAACATATGACTATAGTCATCCTGATTCAGTAATATTATTGCATCAAACATCTTAAAAACACACTTTTATAGGACGATATAAAAATATTAGGCAAAAAACCCAACTTCAATAAGCGTTAAGTTTCTAAAATGTTTTATATCGTTTCCAACAGTCACAATGTTCACATAAAGGATGAATCGTATAATTAAGGTCATTTGTGTAAAAGATTTTTTAAAGCATACGTTTTCAGTCTCATAGGCACATACACAAGTACAGCTACACGTACTTATTAAAGCACGTCATTGTACCTGTCTCACAATATTTTGATTCGGACGCGCATGGTTATAATAGGAGAGCACATGTTCTGACAAGGCCTTTGCCAATTTGACTTGCATGAGAGTTGTACTCGATACATGCAATTAACTTCTTTACGGTTTAACCATAAGGTCATTCACTGTCATATGAATTTTATAAATGAATGTATCCAAAGCTTTCTTATCGGTCATTGTTTAAAAGTTTTTTTTTCAGTAAAAGCCTGAAGAGGTGGACACACCAGTCCATGAAACGCTGTATGGAAACAAGTATTTTTATGTCAAAAGCCATTTACCCCAGGAGACCAATGTAATAATACACTCTGTCATATTATGTAAAGGGTGAAAAAAGATACGAGAGCAGCACATTAATTCTTTAGTAGGAATAGGTAACAAGAAAAAAAATGTCAAAAACTTTACTTACAAAAACTGTTAGCTGAGAAAACTTTTAGAAGAAAGAAAAAATGCTATTAATAACTGATAACAATATTTTACCATAGTTCTCATCAATCGAGCACTAATTTATTGAAAAATAATTAATTCAAAATGGATAATATACATAATGCTTATAACAATGCCTAAAGTGTGGGACACGGTAAGAGTGGATAAATCCCTCGTAATAACATAGCCCCGTTACTAAGCCGTTATACAAATTATTTGTGTAAAAATTTAAATGAGTAAATGAATCCTTTAGCTATTGAACAAAAAGACAAGACGTAGGGTTGCTGTAAGGTTCCTAATTGGTTGTGAATCTTAAAAATTCATAAAATTTAATTACTTAGAATAACCTAGTCCTCAATTATGTGCTCCATAAACGTTGAATACCTAAGTTCACTATCACAGTTGAAACTCTTAACGAATAAATTAATTATTAACATCAACTTTAACAACTGTTCAATAACAGAGCTAAATTTTTATACTGTTTTTACGGCCTTCGTACTGGGTAAACATGAACTAACTGTAGATAGTGTTGAAAACAAAGCGCAAAAGCAAATGAAGCAACGTTAGACATTACAAGAATTTGTATAAATATAAGCATATTTAGCAATGTTGTCAAAGAATTCTTTAATCAACTAAAGTCATAGTGGGATTTCAAAAGAAGTGACGTTAAGTTTGATTAAAAAATGTTGTACATCAACTATTAGGTAAAAATATTTAAAAAACTAATATTACAGAATAAAGAAAGAGCATTTTGCTACACATAAACTTATTGCCTGGCCCCCCTCTCCCTGCGTCAGTTCCCTTTGCACCACCCGGCTTCAGTGTGCCGAGATCATGCTGAAAACTCGCGCACATTTGTGTGCAGCTAGGTTCTGATTGGCCAAGCGTTTGCGCGTTGTTCGAACATCGAAAAATCGAAGATACAGCACTCAAAGACCAAAGACATAAAATCCTAATACCTAATCTGCGATAACCCAGTATGATAAAAGTTTCTGTTTGGTTTTCCCACGGCACACGCCCACGCCAATGCCACCATCGCAGCGACGGAGGCTGTCGAGACTGTAAAAGGAGAGTGCAGAGCTCCGCAAGAAGCAGAGAGAGAGCCAACAGCGTGTCAAGAGGAGAAGCGTCGTGATTTTCGATAATACCTACATCTTTAGGTTACTTACTCTTATTTTTGTCTCTCTCGAGGGTCGAGCGCGACCCTGCTTTGATTAGTGCTTCTGACGGTTTAACCACCTGTATAAAACACAAGTAAGTTGCTCAATAAAGTGTGTTCTGAGTTTCAATATAGGCGATCATTGCGCCCACGTGCATCTCATTCTCCCCCCACATCCGGCCAGCAAACTCAAGCAGATTTTAACAAAATGGTCCTTCGAGCCGGATCTGGGGGGAACGATCTCGGTGCTCGTGCAAAAGGTCCCACTCGTGGACGACAGCCAGGTTATGACACTCAGAGCAGGCTTATTAGCCCGCCCCTCTCTGCACCCCGTGAGCGCGCGATGGGATGCGCTCTTTTCTTCGCTCTTTGTGCTCGGCCACCGTTACGCTGCTTTGTCATCCTCGCGCCCCGAACCAGCGTTCGTCGCGCAGTGGTGTGTGCAATGAGTGCCCGTCCGAATGCAGCGATGCGGAAACGCCCGGACACCAGGAGGTTAACAGTGCTCTATCCTGCTAGATTTTGCTGCAGGGCGCGATGCAGTTCGCGCTTTTTCTCTCTCAAAAAATCATGTATTATTCTCTCTCCCTCTCTTTCTCACACACATGTGTGTGTGTGCATCTATACGTGTGTGTCGGTGTGTATGCGTGCGCCTATGTGTGGTTATCTTACTACATTCTGCTGCAGGGCACGATGCAGTTCGTGATCCCTCCAGTAATCATACATATCTGTCCCTCCCTTTCACACACATGTGTATGTATGTGTGTATACATGTGTGTACGTGTGGTTCTGTGCGGGCCGAGAGCCGAGAGTGGCTGGAGCACACTTTTCTCGCGACAGTTCTATTGAGGTTAGAACGGCTTCTTATACCGTGTGACAAAGGGCTTACAACAGTCGCTTGCCGATATCGCTTCGTACATGGATTGGTCCCCATCACGAGACCACTCGAATCAAAAACGACTCGCAGCCCCAACGCTGTACGTGCAAGCATCAAAAGCAACAACTGCTTATTCAACAGGACCGCCTGGCCACTGCGGTCAAGCAACGACGCTTGAACGAAGGTGGTCAGGAGGTCATTGACCAACAACGGTCATAAAGCCATGGAACTTTTCTTTACCCGAGACTCACAGTTCTCTCCTTTCGAGCAACAACGCTCACGCAAGGAGATCGAACAACCCTGGTCGTTAACAGTCCTTCATGTCAACGATGCAACCCAAGACGCTGCTTGCATACTTGCAGTCCCTCCCTTACCGGTTGTCACTTCAATTGACTCAAGTGACTACTTTCAAAACCCTTGCTACAACGCAATTGATCTATTTTCAGAATCATGGACATGCTCAACTCTCAACTTGCTCTGAGTCAAGTAATTAAGAATACTTCTCGAGCGGTTCGAGATACTCAATCAGAACAGTGGACAGAAGGTCTCGTTCGAGTATAGTTCGAGTCTCTCCGGCTGATGCCAAGTGCGAAGCCTGTTACGCTCAGCACCACTCGAGAGACAGCAGTGGCAGATATGTCGTCTCTCTCCCTGTCAAAGAAGACTATATCTATCTACTCGGAGACGGCTTGAACCAGGCTAGAGCAGCCTTACGCGCTGCACAGAGGAGAATGAAAATGGATTCTGACCTTCAAGAGCACTACGTGGCATTCATGAGCAAATACATCCGATTAGGCCACATGCGTCCAGTGTCGGAGCAGGAGATGGAGAACTGCCCTCAGAGGGTTAACTATATACCTCATCACGCCATCTGGCAGCGCAGTGACGGCAGGCGGCGCCTTCGCGTTGTCTTCAACGCCTCGAGCCCCACCTCAACGGGATACAGTCTGAACGACGCTCTCTATCCAGGGCCCAAATTACAAAATGACATTGTCAGTGTTATCACTCGGTGGAGACTTTACCGAGTAGCCTTATATGCAGACATCAAGATGATGTTCCGTCAGATACAAATCCAAAAGGAGGACGTGCATTTACAACGAGTCATCTGGAGTCAAGGTGAAAATGAGCCGGAGACTCACTACGTCTTGCTTACAGTCACCTACGAAGAGGCTAGCGCACCTTATTTAGCGTTGAAGACTCTAACGCAACTGTGCGAGGACGAAGAAGCTGCCTTTCCTGAAGCAGTTGACGCTGTCCACCGAAATCTTTATGTCGACAACTTCTTGACCGGCGCAGACGACGAGGACACGGCCAGAAAGCGCAGAGAGCAACTGGTTCAACTTCTGAAGGCGGGCGGCTTCGTACTCAAGAAGTGGGTCTCAAACACGCCATCTCTCTTGCACGATTTGAAAGTCGAAGATTTGCTTCGACCAAGTTGGCTTCACTTCACCACGGATAGTCCAGTGAATGAGTTGGGAATTGCTTGGGATCCGAGTGCTGATTGCTTTCGGTTTCCCCCCCCCCCCTGCATTCAACAAGAGCGAAACACTGACAAAGCGTCGTGTCCTGGCTGAAGCGGCTCGGCTTTTCGACCCTGCTGGCTGACTGTCACCCATTATTGATGTGGCCAAAATGCTTATCCAAGACCTTTGGAGGGCGAAGCTAACATGGGATGAGCCACTGCCGGCATCTTACGCTAAGCGATGGGAGTCATTTCGCTCCAAGCTGTCTGACGTCTCCCTACTCACCCTTACTCGATGGCTTCAATCGTCCCCGGCCATTTCGATCCAACTGCACGCCTTTGCCGACGCCAGCAGAAGAGCCTTGGCGACGGCGGTCTACATCAGAGTCGAGCAGGAATCTGGCACGGTAAATGTGAGTCTCATCGGCGCGAAGACAAAGCTTTCTCCGATCAAAAGTCTCGTTCCACCGGAGCGACAGAATACACGGATGACTATTCCCCGATTAGAGCTGAGAGCTGCTCTTCTTGCTGCTCGCCTACTCAGACTCGTGGATGCGAGCTTGACGATCTTGGATTGCACGTATTACCTTTGGAGTGACTCGAGCACGGTACTCAGCTGGCTACACTCCAGCGAGCCTGTTGGGAACGATCTTGTCAACAATTATGTCCATCACATTCAGGAACTCACAGCTCACGGTACCTGGCGCTACGTTCCCTCCAGCGACAACCCGGCTGACATCGCTACCAGGGGTACGGAACCTTCGACTCTTCAACACAACACCCTCTGGTGGACCGGCCCGTCTTGGCTAACAGGCCCACCTTCTACGTGGCCCTCAACCTTACAGCAGCCGCCTTCTCCGACCGGTCACTGCGACGGAGGTCGACACACCATCGCGTCAATCACCTGCCTGACCATCTTGCAAGGAAGCCGCGATTTCATGGACGACTTTTCTAATTTGCTGCGCATGCTCCGACTGCTCGTCAGATGCCGACGGTTCATCTTGATACTAAGGACTCGTATCGAGTGTAAGAAACTCATGACTGGTATCAGAATAGCCGATTGCATGAAATCCGAAGCTCCAATCACGGTCGCAGAACTCCAGCACAGTTTTCTTTGCTGCGCTAAACTCAGTCAAATTCGTTACTTTGCTGCCGACATCAAGACCTTGAAAAATTCTATTCCTGTCAAGATCTCGAGCCCCCTCAGCCGGCTAAGCGCCTTCTTGGACGATGAAGGCATACTACGAGTCGGCGGCCGTCTTCGTCACTCACCACTTGCTTATGAAGAGAAACACCCACCAGTCCTGGATGCCAGATGTCCCTTGTCGAGGCTAGTGATTGACTGGGCACATCAGCGAGCCTTGCACGGCGGCTTTCGCTCAACGTACTCGCACGTCATGCGACGGGCTTGGATCGTTGGAGGAGCAGTGGAGATAAAGCGACGAGTTCATCAGTGCGTTGTATGCTCGAAAGCACCAGCTCGACCCCTTCACCAATTCATGGCTCCCTTGCCAACAGCTCGCGTGACGCCCGCTCGGCCCTTCACCCGAACTGGAGTAGACTACGCGGGACCTTTCTCCATCCTCCGATCCAAGGGTCGAGGTGCCAAGTCGGTCAAGGGATACGTCGCTGTTTTTGTCTGCATGTGGTCAAAGGCCCTACACCTTGAACCTGTTGGAGACCTAACAACAGCGAGTTTCCTCGGTGCACTCACTCGCTTCATAGGCCGCAGAGGAAAACCGAAGGAAATCTGGAGCGACAACGCAACGAACTTCCACGGGGCAGATCACGAACTCAAGCAGCTGATGGCTGGGGCCAACGACGACTGGGATTCAGTGGCTGAGAGTCTGGCCAACGAGGGAATCGACTGGCATTTCGTCCCGCCATCCGCCCCACACTTTCGAGGCTTGTGGGAAGCTGGGGTTAAATCGATGAAAACTCATCTCCGTCGAGTGGTTGGAACTAGGCACCTCACTTTCGAGGAGTTTTCAACCCTGCTTGCAGAGATTGAAATGATTCTCAACTGTCGCCCTCTGGTCCCGTTATCTGGAGATACGGAGGACTTGGACATGCTCACGCCAGCTCACTTTCTGATCGGAGGACCCCTTACTTCTCTGCCTGCCACCAACACTTCTAAAAAACCTCGACTGCCTGACCCATTAGAATCTTGTGCAAGGCATGCGTGACGCGCTGTGGCGCCGCTGGACCCTTGAGTATCTCAAAACCTTGCAACAACGGATGAAATGGTCCCAGCCCCGTCCCAATCTCGCCGTTGGAGACGCAGTCCTCGTTGTGGATCCAACGCTTTTGAACTCTATCGGGAAGTGGCCACTGGGCCGAATCGTCGACGTCAAACCGGGACCAGATGGGTCCGTCCGCGTCGTTCGGGTAAGAACGGCCTCGGGAGAGTACGTCCGTCCTATCACCAAGATTGCCCGGCTTCCCGTCATTGAGCGTGGTGATCACGCAACAGACGATCCTGGTTCGACCGGCACCAGGCTCACGGCGGGCGGCCAGGCTCATAATGGCCACAAATGAACCACGTGCAATCGTTCCTGGAACGAGGCGGGCGGTATGTTTGGTTTTCCCGCGCTACACGCCCACGCCAGTGCCACCATCGCAGCGACGGAGGCTGTCGAGACTGTAAAAGGAGAGTGCAGAGCTCCGCAAGAAGCAGAGAGAGAGCCAACAGCGTGTCAAGAGGAGAAGCGTCGTGATTTTCGATAATACCTATCTTTAGGTTACTTACTCTTATTTTTGTCTCTCGAGGGTCGAGCGCGACCCTGCTTTGATTAGTGCTTCTGACGGTTTAACCACCTGTATAAAACACAAGTAAGTTGCTCAATAAAGTGTGTTCTGAGTTTCAATATAGGCGATCATTGCGCCCACGTGCATCTCATCCTCCCCCCACATCCGGCTGGCAAACTCAAGCAGATTTTAACAGTTTCTTATGCTTTTTAGTGTAAAATAGGATGTAACTTATCTCATGTAAACAATCTTAATTGACTGAATAAAATTACTGGTATTTAAATAGCACCCTACCTATAATCGCTTGAACTCCAAGCAGCGTATTTCCAGTATTCACTGTGCTCGCTTCTCTGCAGTTTTATTTGTTTGAAAAACCAACAAAATTCCAAGCCACCATTCCTTAACGATTCAACACACTCTTTTGTCTGTGCTTTTGTTTATTACTGAATTAAACAAAATCCCAAGTATCTTATGGAATCATCTACTTGGATTTATTATCAATTTAAACGTAAATGAAAACTCAACAAGCTAATTTCTGGAGTCCTGCCACGCTTGCAGGCCCACGTTAAAAAGCTTTTCTTCAAAAATTAAGGAAATGTGAAATATCCAAGTAAGTACAATTAATACAAAATTAAAATTAAAATGGAATCAACAAAAGCATAAACAAGTAAAGGTTAAGCCCTGGTACTTACTATAAACATATACGAGTTTCAAGGTACATCGGTCGTATTCTTAGATGCGCGTTCTGTTTTGGACCCAAAGATCATGGGCTCAAGACTAGAGGTCAACATTTTTTTTTTTTTATTATATCATGTTTAAAAGTATCTAGATATTTGTTAATTTATAAATTTTTATAGATTTTTGTTGATTCATAAATTATTAAGTGCAGTAAAGCATGCATAAATAAAAAACTCACTCCTATGAGCAGATACGCATGGCTCACTTATTTTTAAATATACTTATTAATCTACATTTAAAGTAATTCATTGTTATTTACCCAATACACTCCGTATTGATCTGATGTGCCGTGAGAATTTGCTTATTATTTTTTAAATGAGCAGTGTTGTCACTACTCTTTCAACGCAAATATTTCTTGCGAATTTTAAAAAATCTATATTTTCAAAATTATCATACAGTTATACCTCCATAAATTGCGTTTGCACCCAAACAAATAAATACATTAAGCACGTGCAGAAGCATGCTCGCGCTCGTGTCAACTGTCTACACACGTTAAAGTGTAGCAAACAGCAATGCATGTATCAAGTCGCGCGGGAGCACGACGAGGTACGTTTGAGACAGTAGACAAAGCCTCAGCGACCACGCTACTACTTACTTCAGATTTGCATACTCAAATTTTCAAATGATGAAAAGTAAGTATTTTTGCCGGTATGCCTGATGTATTTTGGTTTAATTAAGTCTCTTTTATCCTAGTCCACAACTTTACCAAAGAATATAGATCAAAAAGTCGTTAGAATAACAAAAACGAGACATGTGTATCTTGAAATAGTCAAAACAAGATTTTTTCAGGCTCGGTGTCCGAGAAATAGTCTTATTATTTAGTTAGCTGCAAGCCAAATTTTTCCTGTGTATAGTTGGAATAGGCATGTTCTTAAAATCAGGCAGAGCTGCCAACAGTGTGATATTAGCTACAGGTACTTCCTAATTTCACAAATTCACAGTAGATGATAGCATGCAGTGTTGGGAGTTCTCAGTGGATAAGATGGTAGAGCGCTTGCCTTCCACCTGGAGAGCTCGGGTTCGAGACTCCGTTCCGTCACTTCCTCCCGGGTAACTAGGTGGTGTTTTTAATATGAACTAATCACTAGGATATCATATAAATAGGCTACTGGTATATAGCATTTCACCGTGGCATGCAGATATGCAGTTTATAGGAAGAGGCAACGATGCCTCAGAAGAGGGAGGTGGTGGATATGACTCTCTCTTAGTAAAATCATCCCTTAAATGATCAATACTACAAATAATGAGATAAGTAGATTTGGCAAGTCAAGGTCAAATGTATATGTGCGCACTTATAAGAATGTAAAATGTACCCAGCCATTCAAACAACGACTGACAAGGTGAGGTGTTGTTATGGGAGGACACCTACCGTGGAAAAATTTTGAAAAAGAATAAAAATGTAAGACCAAGAATACTTTAATATCCTATTTATCCTATCCCTGAATTTCGTGTGCCATAAATGCGAACACATTAATTTTAGTATCTAAATTAAAATTTGAAATAAATTAAGTGCAAGTAATAAGTTTTATTATTTTCTTAGTATACTTTTTTTGGCAATTTAAAATGAATCGTGTTACACAGCTGTAATAGTATCAACATAATCTGATCGATTAGATAGAAAACTTTAATTATTTTCCGGAGTGCCCTGAATGACAAGCTGTAAACCTAATTATTTACTGCATCTCGTAGATGAAATTTTTTTCCCAACAATAATTTTTTCCAATACATAAAATTTTTAAACACTTTTTTACACAATTATTGGCTTCAAATACTTGTACGTTGATAAATTTTAAATAATTATTTTCCCTTTCTTTATTTTCTGAGCCAACTTCAGTTTGATAAGTTTGTTTCATTAACAGCAAAAAATACATTCCATAACCTAAAATTTGCAAAACTTTTCGCATTTTTTGTGATTTAAAAGTATGTGTCTACGAGTAATATGATAAAGGTTATAGACTTTGGTGATAATAAGACATAATAATTAAATAACCTTATAACAAAGTTTTTGTAACGAACGTTTAACTTATGTGTATGTAGTATTTTGTTAATATTATAAGAGTTAGCATGGATGTGTAACATTTTCGATATGTTTAATATTTTAGTCAATTTTTCACAATTAAAACAACTTTTAAAGTTGGATACATACTATTACACGTCGGTATCATCGACTCCATCCTTTTCCATTTTCATAAACGTCGAGAACTTATCAACAAATTTAAAAACTAATTTCACATTATTAGCTTTCACAGCAAATAAATTTAACTTGAAATTGTAAAGAAAATTGAACAATTAAATTTATTCTAAATACAAATACCGCTCTGATAGTTATAGACCTAGTGTACACAATACGACACATACTCGTGATCAGTTGACGGGTCAACGTCCGCACCACATAACATTACCTTCTACTCGTATTATAAGAAACAACTTTAATTCAAAGTGGCTTCATAACCTCACAAATACAAATATACTAGAACCTGTATTCGACACGTTAAAACCAGGCGAACGTTTCAACTTTCACAAACAAATCTCAAACAAAATAAAAATTTATTAGCGGCTAGAGTCAATAAAAGCAATGCTACAGTTATTATTGATGAGCGTAATTGTATAGACAATGTCAAAAAACGGCTGAACAATTACAAATATTACATACAGCATACAGTTACGGAAAAATCCATGAAATAAATAATTTGAAGAAACAATAACTTTTGTAAAGCATTGTCTTGATCTGGGCACTTTCAAAGATTATGAATTTTGTTTGAATCCAACAGATATTTGTAAGATGATTCTAGCGAGGTGTTATGGCTTGATTAAAATACATAAAGAAACACATCTCTTACGTAAGTATTATAGTTTTCGCAATAAATTTCCACTTTAATGGGTTATCAAAGTTTTTAACAAAATTTTTAAATGATAACATTTCAAAAACTAACTTATTTGTATAAAAATAGCTCTCATTTGAAAGAGAAAATAGATTCATTTACTATTTTAACAGGTTATACACTTATTAGGTTAAATGTTGTTAGCTTATTCACTAATACTTTTTGAAAGATTATTTTAGAATCGATAGATGATAACTGAAAAATATTTACGTAATAAAATAAATTTATCTTTTTGATAGTTTTGTAACAATGTTAAAATTGTATTTATCTCTATTATTTTTCACCTTAACAATAAGTTTTGCTAACAAATTTTTGCTTCACTTATAGAAATCCTATACATCCAATTTTATGGGACTTGGTCATGAGACGCTAAAAAGAATTTCGACTCGATAGACTAGGCTTCATGTTCCATTTTATGTACGTTACGTTGACAATATTCTAGCTCGTATCCCCATTCTCTCTATTCTATAAATTCTGAGAACTTTTAACAGTTTTGATATAAATTTACGGTTAACTTTACAGTTAAAAAAACGAGTTGCCAACAAATTAGTTTTCTTGATTTGAGACTAATCATTCAAGATGACAATTCAATTATTACTAACCGTTATAAAAACCCTACGCACCTGAGGAGGTACATAAGTATTTATTCATACCATCTTGTAACACAAAAATAGCTGTGGTTTACACTTGGGTAGGTTATAGTGTTGAATTATCATATAAAAAATTTTATGCCAAAATCTAGAAATCACAAACAGATGACAAGATCTAAAAGCAAGGAAAATTTTCCAGCAGAAGCTTGTCGTTGATCTGGAACCAACTTTGGAAGATTTTTTGCAACAAAATTATTTGAATGGTTATAATCATAACAACGTCTGATAGAATGCTCAAAAGGATAATTAGTACAGAGTTTATCTCAAACTGGTGAATTTAACTGCCCAAATTCAGGCAAATTTTTTTTCTGAAAGCGAGATGACCTTGTTTTCAATATAAATTAAATCTCTATTAAATATTAGTTCAATTCGTCAAGAGTAAAGAACATATTCGCAAAATTGTAGTTCAAACGTGTCCCACAAAATTTAAGGTTACGATGACCCGCAAAAGAACTGAAATAATTGCAAGTAAGTCATGTAATTTAGATGGATTTTTAGACAAAACAGTATCTGCGAATTT